CACTTCCGAGTTCCGGTAGACGAGGCACACGAGGCACGCAGCCTGCGTCGCCGACGGTTCCATTAATTTACGTGCTCGTTTCAATTTAATTGCCAGTGCAGCGCCGCTCTATCCTCAAGCGCTAAAACGGCCAAGCGCGACCGACTGCTAATGCAGCCAGCAGGCAGCTTTTGCCATAGGCCATACCATAGGCCATTTGGTCTTTGGCGAACCCAGTTTCCAGGCCCAGGCGCGTATCTGCGTACATCGCGATCCGCGTTCCCTATAGCTGTTCACGTTAATTGAAAATGGTCGATGTTACCCTGGAGCTAATTCAGGTAGTGCTCGTCCCCGGAGCCTCTGGAACTTTCAGGACGCGACCCTACGTCATCGAGACCCTCTCCATTTGCCCTATGGGAATACGCACTCGTTAACGGCAAGCATTAATCGGGCCGTGTTCTTCTCGAATCCTTCGTTCCATTATCTTCCGTTTCGTCCCTTCTCGTTCCCGTTCCATCCCGTTTCCTCCTGTTCTATCAGAGCTTTATCAGGCTTAACGTGGGGAAACTATAGGAGGAGTGCGCGCAGTGTACTCGAAACCCGCTTAATTGTAAGCGGTGGATTACGCCAAGTCGCTCTTACTCTTGGCTCCACCCTCATCCGTTTGTCCGAGGGTGGCAAAGGGTAGCAAAGGGTGCGGGAGGACAAGCAGAGTAAGGAAAGAAGTCATCATGAGTCTCAGAGACGACAACGTGACATTCTCAAGGACGCCGCGCGCGAAGGCTCAGCCGAAGACATTAAATATTTTCATGCTTTCCCGCTGTCGGCTCCTCGACTCGTTGACGCACATAAAACTTTCTGCTTTATGGGAGCTCGTCGGGTTAGGTCCGAACCGTCTGTATACACAGTTTACACATATGGCCACGGTGGCTATGCAAAGTCTGCCTTGAATCATAGATCGTTCACCGTTCGTCGTGGATTCTGCTACACGGATCATGAGTCTCAAGCACCGTCAGCTATTCTCGCGGAAGAAAACTCCAAGGAATTTCCTCACTGGCTCTATGGGGCCGCACACGCAACGTGTGTACCTGCAATCGATATTTTCATATTTCCCAGAACCACCTTAGATTAGTTCAACACCGTTAAAAGGTATAAAGATAAATGATTCCTCTGGCACAGGAAAATCATTCTCAAATGCGCGGCAATAGTTTTGTGCCAATTTCTTTATTAAGTAGTAAAAAAAAAGGTCAGCAAGATATATACAGGAGCTTTGTTGTAGTCGCTACGCAAACGAGCGATTGCGATATCGCCCCAAGGTTTATCCACGAGAAACTTTACCGGCATGTAAGTACTACTAATCCCTCTAGAAACTCACCCACTAACACGTGTCTGATACCGTCTCGCCTTTGTCTAGTAAAGTCTAATACGGGCTACGGGGGAAATTCATAAATATTTTGAAATGAAAGGCCTTTCGAGTGTAATCGGGATTTTTCATTAACAGGCTGTTCGCTCTTGACAGAGTTTCCGTATTATTCAAGGTAACGGAAGAGAAGCACATTGAAATAGGACGTGACGTAGAGTTCGTTACTGTTTATCCAGTTATACGAGCAAGATATTCGCCGGCGCTGAATTCGCCTTTATTAGCCGCTTCACTATAAATAAAAAGATTGGCTCCCAATGATCCCACAGTAAGTCGCGATGCCACCCGCCTCCGAGGGAGTCGCAAACGAACCAGCTCGTAAACGTCTTTTTCACGCGCCGTCCTCGTCCGCAATTTCAAAATTTTCACTTTTCAACGGCGTTATTAAACGCAAATCGTGCTCGAGGCCCTCGAGCCTCGTCGTTAAGTCGAATGCTTACGTTATCCGGAAACAATTGCGGAGGTCCTCGATATTACGGTGCTTTGGCAATCTACCAAAAGGGAGACGATTGCCATTTCATGGGTACTTTGGCACGAGGTTGCACCACTCGTCGGTCACAACCGAATCTGAGGTGCGTGGCTACCAGGAATAATCTAGACATCTACTGACATTCACCATGGAGTGCATAGAGATATCCGTTAAGATACCATTTAGTACTTTATAGTCGCATTTACACTTACTTTTTTTCTTTACTATTATATCCCCAGCGACATCCAGGAGAAATAAACTTCAGACTCTGGGACGCTATATTTTTATGTAATTCAGGACCCGAAGCCATAAACCCAATATACCCTTGAGTCACATCTTACGATCCAGAATCGCGACGCCGCAGAAAATAATGTCGATCCATTAACCCGCGTGTCATTCCGACTGAAGATTCGTCCACGTGTATTCGTCAACGTCTAACAAACAGGAAGGCAAAAAATTGGGGGAAAAAAAAAAAAGATTACAAGCTTCCTAAGGACTATCTCTATTCCAAAGCGGAAATAGATTCGGCGAATGATCGACGTCCACTTACCCCCTTCTACGGGGAACAAGGAAGAAGTTACAAGTAGAGACTGCAGGGGACGCTATACTCGTGGGCGTAAATAATAGCGATCCTGTTGGCGCAGACGTCAGAAGGATGTTACGAAGAAGTCTTTCGGGAAATTTCAGTGACGCAAATACTTTATTTGAGCAGGAAACGTGCAACGATAAACCTGCTTATTAGGAGTACGTAAGCGCTACTTCAAAGCGTTAATTGCATCTGACAGTTTACTACGCGTACAATTGTTTGCCCCGCAAGTGCTTATCCAGAAGGGTAAGCACAGCTAGTACATACAAGTACGTACGACAGCACAGCTAGAGTCCTGGTGCAGCGAGGACGGCGCCAGCTTCGCTAACTTTCATAACTTTGCTCTGCTCGGGTTAAATCATCTTGCAGAATCCGCAGCCGAGTTTGCAGAATCGGTCGAGGCTCGCCCGGCCTGATTACACTCTCGGTCGAAATTCATCAATTTCGAGATCGATCGACCGGAGGCTGACTGAGTGACAGAAATCTGAGAATCTGAGAGTCCTCGAGCGGTCAGGAAGAACCGCGGGACACGTTAACCTAATCAAGCGGCAGACTGACTCACGGAGTCATATAGATATTCAAAAGCGGGCAAGTTCAAACATTCGAAGGATTGTTGAGCGACGTTAAGCGGCGTATCTTAATTTAGCAGGAATTAAACATGGCCTCGAGAACACAGAGGCCAACGTGGCCAATGAGGTCAACGGGGCCATACTTTGGTTTAGGAAAATATAATACACCCGGCGGCGGCGGCGGCGCCCGCGTGTGTATTTGCATAGAGATTTTACGCACCTCGAGATGAATCTCTGCAGACGCGCGGATCAGGAACATCAACGATTTTTCGATCTTTAGCTCCGACCGCTATTATCATCGCTTCGCGATCGACGAGAGAATATCTTTATCTTATTTTTTAGCGATCGGCCAGACGGTCCTACGAGACCTTATCACGTTATAATGGATATCTCCGAGAACGTCGAGGATAATTTATCGTGAAATAAGATATTCCTCGCCAGTTAGCCAGCGTTACCCTGCGATCCCAGTGCTCCTGCGGTCCATCGGCCGCTGTGGCTCTTTCGCGATTTTATGTGTTTCCCAATGGCCCCCCTCCT